AGTGGGTTGGGGAAAGGTCTTTAGGCAAAGGATGTGCAGTATTAATGCCCTGAGGTTGGGACTTGCTTTGACTTTCTAGAACAAGACGAATTCCAGGATATTAGAGTAGACTGAGCAAGGGGTTACTTAGAGGATATGAGGTGGAAAACACTTAGGGAGCTGCACCACAGAAGGAATCCCTTAGCCTTGGGAAGAATTTGAGGCCTTTACAGATTTCTAGCTAGAAAGTGACAAAACTCCATCCATTGTGAAGAATTAGGTAGAGGGGCAGGGAGACAGGCAATGGATAGACCTAGTAGTTAGAAAGTTGTTGCAGAAACCCCAGGAAGGAAGTAGTACTAATGGGTAAAATGCACTGTGGTCTGCTCTCTCAAAATCCAAAAGAAACCACAAAAGTAAAGATTGTGTTAAATATGTATATGTATGATATTTTAAACTTTTTGATAAGAAAAATCTCATTATATTCTTTTTAAATTATTAATAGTGTACATTGTTTAGTTTTCTAATTTAATGAATTTTCTGTTTCTTATGAACTATATGCTGATGCTTATGCCATATTTACTGGGGTAGATATTTTTGGGGGGGTTCTGGTACCAGGATCAAGCTCAGGACTTTGTGCTTGGTGGGCAGGCACGGCACCACTGAGCAACATCCCCAGCCCTACTGGGATAGATCTTATCATTAAGTTAAATGACAGCTTCAGCTATTTGCATTATTTTTACTCATTTATATTACCCTATTATCAAATATTTTCCTGCTTTGTTGATTGAGTTTATTTTGTGAATGATTTTTTTTTTTAATAAATTTTCAAATGAAGCAAAATCTCTGTTTGATAGCAGTGGCTTTCCTTTTCTCTGGGCCATGATTGCATTAGAAAAGATTTCTTGGATTTCCCAGTGCTGAGACTCTTTTTAGGTTCAGTCTCCAAGGCCACTACCCACAGTGCGCTCTCTGGCTGTCTACCCTCTAAGAATAATTTACTTGTGAGACAGGGCCAAATTTTTCCCACTGCCTTCCAACAGCCTGGGAAAAGGATCCAAAAGAAGAGACTGAAGTGAGTCCATACAGGAAGAGCCTTTAGACATCACAGATTAAAAATAGAAGAAGAAAAGAAAAGTAGGGAATTAATCAGAAAAGAGACCATTTTTAAAAAAGAGAGAGAGACCATTTACACTTGAATTTCGGAATGAGAACGGAGGTACAGCAACAGCCCTCAGACCTACTCCAAGTAGATAAATTTGTTCTTTTCAGTGAAACTGTAGGGGTAATGGTGATTTCTATAATATAGTTCTATTGGCCTTACAGGAAACATTTCCCTGTGAGATTGATGATGATGTTACACTCAACTCTTATTTTGGTGAAGATGTGGATTTACTTGTGTTTTTCTGTCTTGCCTATCAAATGTAAGGTCCAGGAAAGAAGGGCCTATCTTGGTTTTCTTTACATCACTTTACTCAGCACTAAGAACAACCTTTGATATTCAGAAAACATTTGCATACTTTTCAAATGAATAAATGAAGCATTAGTGTGGGACAGAGGACATTGAGTCACAAACTGCAGTGAAATGTGTTCTAAAATCAGTTCTTCTGCTTTGTCTAACAGAGTCACGCTCTTTGGCCCAGCATCACTATTAGTGCTACCTGTCCAGGCTGGAACATGGTAAACTCTGTAGGGGCTCACGGGATTGGAAGTGAGGTGTGTGCATGAAGCTTTGCTTTTATTTTGCTTTACAGCTCTTCTTTATGTTCTCCTGGAGTTCTCAGACCTCTTCTGGACATTAGGTGTCATTTTCTTTTCTCTAGTAGACCTCTTCTGTGGTAAATTTTGGGTGACGATGGTGATGTTTACTCTTTAGACTCTCATTTATTGGGGCGGGAGTCCTTGGGATAAGGATTAAAAGATCATGATAGGTTTTCTTCTGATAAATAAAATTGTGGTAACTTTAATCAGTGCCAATAAGTCATCATTATACCAAACTGTTATGTAACCATTGTCACTTGTTTATCAGTGATAAGTAACAATTCTTTAGATTTAAACACAAAATGAAATGAGGCATGTTATTCCAAAACCAACTTTCAGTCAGCTACACTAATAGTGGGCAGAGTATGACAAAATGCCCCTTGATACATCTTTTTTATGTGTTGTCTCTTTGTAGTCTCTGCCATTGCATTCTATGATAAATTATGATTTTATGTGTCTGTTAAATGACTGCATTTTACATATGTGATAACTAGAGCTAAATGGTTATTGTCAAACAAGAAATGCCTGGTACTTCCAAGATGGCCCTAGAGAGTGGAGCTGTTGCTCAGATGTGGAAGCAGAGGACACATAGGGAAAGACCAGGTCATGGGAAAGTGATTTGCTTGGTGAAATAGGTGCATAGGGCGGTGCACCTCCGTTTGAGGAAAGGTGACTTGGGAGAAAAAGGCTCTCATCTAGATCTTCCTCAAGTGTGCAAGGAAAGGGAAGCTTAGTGTATTAGTAACTTTTCTGTCACTGAAACAAAATACCCAATAACGCAATGTACAGGAGAGTTTATTTAACGTATTTGTATCAGTACATGTTTACCATACATAATAATCACATTCATCATAGGGAATTTGTACCTGTATATAATATGTTTTAATTCTATTTTTCCTATTTCCTTTGCCTCCTTTCAATTCCTCTTCCCCTCCTCATTAACAAAAGCTTTGTTTCCATTTTTTCCCTTCCGTTCTTTTAAAATAATTTTCTCATCCTTTCCTTCCTCCTCCCCTTCCCTTATTCCCCTTCCCATTTGAATAAATTATTCCTACTTCCCAATATCTATCCTCCATTTTGCTCCTTGTTTATCCTTTAAGTTTTCAACACAAGAGAAACAATGCGATATTCAAACTTGTGTGTCTGATATATTTCACTTAAAAGAATGGCCTGGAGATCCATCCATTTACCTAAAAATGTCTCAACTTTATTCTTCTTTAAGGCAGAGAAGTATTCCATTGTATATAAACTCCACATTTTCTTTATCCATTCATGTGTTGATGGGTAGATGGGCTGTTTCCAAGATTTAGCTATTATAAATTGTGCTGTTTTAAACATGGGTCTGCATATATCACTGATACGATGCTTTTAACTCTTTCAGGAAGATATCTAGAAGAGGAATAGTGAGGTCCAATAGAACCTCTAGTTTTAGTTTTTTGAGGAATCTTTGTACTAATGTCCATATTGGTTATAGCAACTTACACTTCCATCAACAATGGAGAAGGGTTCCTTTATCCCCACAGCCTCGCCAGTGTTTGGTTTTGGTTGATTTCTTGATGATAGCCATTTTTTTCTGGAGATGGAATCTCAGCATTATTTTAATTTGCATTTCTCAAATAATCAGGTATGTTGGATATCTTTTCATGTATGTATTTGCTGTTTGTACTTTATCTGAGAAGTGTCTACTTCAGATGCCCATTTTGGGATTGGGTCTTTAAATTTGGGGGTCTGATTTTGTTGAGTTCTTTATGTATTCTAGATATTAGTCCTTTTCCTGAGGAGTAGCTGGTAAAATTTTTTTCCCATTCTGCGGATTGTCTCTTTACTTTGTTGGTGGTTTCTTTTGCTGTGTAAAAGATTTTTAATTTGATATGATCCATGTTGTTGGTTCTTTGTAATATTTTCTGTGCAATTTGGATTTTGTTCATAAATTCTTTACCTACTCCTATATCTTCTAGAGTGTTATGTATTCTCTCTTCTATCAGATTATTTTTGTTTCAATATTTAGATCTTTGATCCATTTAAATTTTAGTTTAGTGCATAGTAAGAGGTATGATTCTAGGTTTAATCTTTGCCATGTGGAAAGCCAGTTTTCCAAGCACAATTTATTAAAGAGGCTATCTTTCTTCCAGGGAAGGTGTTTGGCCCTAATGTAGGAGACGCTTATTTGGATTCATGGTTATAGTGGGTTCAGGCCATGGTTTGCTGGATCCAAAGCAAAACCAGGATAGTTACATGCAGCCAAAAAGCTGAGAGAGGAGGGAGATGACAGGGACAATAATACATCTATCAAGGTCACACCTCCAGGAACCCACCTCCTTCAGCTAGGCCCCACCATCTAAGACCATATTCAGCTAGAAGTTATCAATGAATTAATCCCTTGATGAGGGTAGTAACCACATGAGCAATCACCTATCAAACCCAGGAGGCTTGGGGAGGATATTTTAGATCTGAGCCATAACATTTAGTAAGGATAGGAGTCAGATGGTAGTGAAAAGAGGAAAATAGGTTCTCTAGAATAAAGGTATAAGAAAACAGATTAGAGGTAGGAATGGCCTAGGCTCGGAGAATAGGGGAGATGGACTCCTCCAGAAGAGAAGCTGAGCCCTAGGTGTTTCAGGCTTCTCAGCCAGACATTAAATGTCTGTTGAACCATTGGAAGACTGGCACAAATGATTACCAAAGAAAAGGATCTCCAGATCTGGAGAACGCCACAGTTTGAATTTACTTTGTGTTTGTGATTGCTCAACTATATATTACTTTGGCCTTTATACCTTCTCATACCATTATTAAACTTTTTTAGATGCAAATATACTGACTTGAAAGTTGTTCAATAATATAATGTCTTCCCAGAATAAAGTACCAGTTCACCATGTGTATTTTTTATTTTTCTGAGTTTTATTTTAGACCAATTATTGAAATACCATCGTCATCATCATCATCATCATCATCATAATGTGTTGTAATGAAATAAAATGAAGTGACCTCATTAAAATCACTTATTTTCTCTCCTCCACTGCACTTTTAGAAAATGGCTCAAAGTTAGTCAGATATTTGTGTTCTTTTCGTACTTTGAATTTATTGAGTTTGATTACAATCAGACTTACTCAATAAAAGGAATGTGGAACGAAGAAAAAGTTCATTGCTTTTGCACAGTGTGTTAGGTACATCTCTCTCCCACATACCATAACTACTCAGCTTCTAATTCTAGAAAAGACTTATTTTTTTAATAACTTGTAAACATTCTTTTCTTCCTGCAGGTAGAATGGCTGAAAAATGAGGAACCCATTGATTCTGAACAAGACGAGAACATTGACACAAGGGCTGACCATAACCTAATCATCAGGCAGGCAAGGCTCTCTGACTCAGGGAATTACACCTGCATGGCAGCCAACATAGTGGCCAAGAGGAGAAGCCTGTCAGCTACTGTGGTGGTCTATGGTAAGACCAGCCCCAAGGCCATGACTGCATAGGGAGGGCAGAACTCAGAGAGGCAGAGGGATGTGTATTTTATTAAAACCTGCTACACATGGAGCTGAAAGGACACAGAGGGTCATCAGCTGCAGGGCGCTGTCCTTCTTCCCCATTTTACAGGCAAAAAACATCCCTATTGCTATTAACGTGTTTACTGTTCCATCTAATATCAGCCTTCTGTGAGATAGGCAGTGACATTTCCAACCTCTCTGTTCTAAAAATAATGAAAGATTCATTTATTTTCTCCCATTGTGTTTATATTTGAAAAGCATCAAGGTGGGCAATTTCTGCTTTTCCCTTCCCCTAAACCCAACACCACCCCCATCTTCCCAGTATTGCTGTCAGTTAGTTCCTCTCCTGGCATAATGAAATCCACCAAAAACAAACACTACTATTTGCTGACTACCTCACGTATTGTATAAAAGAAATTCCCAGTTATTTAAGTAAAGGCATTCCCTTTCACAATAGAAGAGCCCTGGGATTTATTTTCAAAGCACTTAAGGTAATACAAATTCAAATGCTGATATTTTCTTCTTATACTGTGGGCTTTCAAGTGCTTTAGTGATCTGCTGATGAGTTCTTCCTCTTTGTCATAATTTCCCTGCAAAGCGAACTCTCTGGGTCCTTCCTTTTGCAGAGAGTAGTTGAAGCATAGATGAGATGAGGCCCTTGCCACCTCACAACAGAGCAGCCAGTGGGGCTCCATATGGTTTTTTCATCCCCGGATGCCCAACTCACAATACCTGGCACAGTGGCTGGCACATAGTAGGCAATCAGTAAAAACCTCTCTCCTTGTTTTCTCCCCTCCCATTTTTGTCTCTCAGTGAATGGAGGCTGGTCTTCCTGGACAGAGTGGTCAGCCTGCAATGTTCGCTGTGGTAGAGGATGGCAGAAACGTTCCCGGACCTGCACCAACCCGGCTCCTCTCAATGGTGGGGCCTTTTGTGAGGGAATGTCAGTGCAGAAAATAACCTGCACTTCTCTTTGTCCTGGTGAGATATACGCAGATTCCCTTTTCTCTTCTGATCCACCAACACTACTAAGCTGGTGTAAAGCAATCAGTGTAAACTTCCTTTCCAAAATCACCCTCTTCCAATGTCTCCAAGTCTCTGTCCAAGGTGTTGATGTCAACCTGTAGTAGCAAGAATGTGAAATGGCTCTGCGCAATGATCTAGGGCATAGTGTTTTTGTTTTTTAATATTCAGATGACACTGAACACTTACTATCAATAAGCCAAATGTTTTGAAGTATTTTTTTATACTATCAGTGTTTGGTTGGACTAAGCCACCCCTTCTCTCTTTGCGTTCTTCTGCTTTATGAAATGTATTTGTATAACAAATAGTAAGCAGGGACTAGGTAAGAAATCTTCATATACAAAAAAGAAACCAAAACCCTGACCCTTTGTCAGTTGTAGCTTTGTATTTATTTATAGTACAATTGGCAGAGATTGTACACTGTCACAGCAGTCTGTATTTTACATTTGGTCTGAGCTTGCCTTTCTTTCTAAACAGAAAGAGACTTCATTTACCAAATATGTCTCCTATCAGTTCATTTGTTCATCTCTCCCTGGCTGTAACCCAATTTATACAATGAGAAATAGATGAGATGGAAGATGGCTTTCTTTATGGAAACCATATCCTCCCACTGAGAAATAAATTGATCCTGCATCTCACATGCACTACAGAACATTAACTCTAAGGACACCGGCCTAGAGTCTCATGTCTTTTAAAATTTCAAATTTAGCTTCTGTGAAAGCTAAGGTGAGGGTCCCACCAGCAGCATATTCTTGGAGTTTCGATTCCTATTCAATAAACATTTATTGAGTGCTTACTATGTGCCAGGTATTGTGCAGGATATTTTTAAACATATAATGTCATTTAACTCTGTGTTGTGAGTTGTTTTATCCTCAGGTAACAGAAATGGTAAAGTGAGGCCGCATGACTTACTCAAGGTTGCTCAGCTGATAAGTTTGTAGAACCAAGACAAGAACATAGACACTTTGTTTCAAGTTTGCTAATTGCTTTAAAAATTACATTATCTTAACCCACATAAGCATGGTTAGGCTATTCCTGGGAGGTAATAGGGCAATCGCCTTGAACATCTGCCCTAATCTCTAGGGTTGATCTTTAATGGAATTATGTTGTTTGCTCATTTCTATATATGGCAGCAATCCATGACCTGAGAAATTCTATTTTCACATCCTGGCATCTTGGGGTTTGACTGACCTGTTTTAGTTTAGTGCTATCATTATATTTGTGTTCAACCTTTTATTGTTTAGGGGCTTTTAGGGCTTAAAAATAGTTCATTTTACCCCCTGTTCTAAACGGTCAAACCACAAGGCAGTGGCTGATGACCGGTAGTTGCTGTGCCGGGTTTATCCATTTCAGTTGTACTTGGGCCTGGAAAATTGGGAAAGAATAGATGATGACATTATTAGCCAACCCAAAGGTACTAGTCATTCAAAAACTTCCCTAAATTCAATAATAAGTCTTATCCTAAAATAGCAAGAGAATTATACCACTGCTTTTATTAGGAAAGAAGGCAGGGAGAGAAGATGCAGTATTGTGATCTAGTATTTTGATTTTGTTTTGGTAGTTTCTTTAAAATCCAGGTGTAAAGGCAACAGTGGATCTGGGGTGAGTCTTGCCCAGCTGCTTGATTCCCTCTAATGGTGGTTTCTGTTGTTTCCCTTTGAAGTGGATGGGAGCTGGGAAGTGTGGAGTGAGTGGTCAGTCTGCAGCCCAGAGTGCGAGCATCTCCGGATCCGAGAGTGCACAGCACCACCCCCAAGGAATGGGGGCAAGTTTTGTGAAGGACTCAGCCAGGAATCTGAAAACTGCACGGATGGGCTCTGCATTCTAGGTAATGTGTTTTATGTAACATCTTCGCATCTATTCATGATGTCTACATATTTTTATATTTCAAGAAATAATGTCACAACCATGAATTGGGTTAAAGAAGTCAGCAGAAAACCTGATCACCAGGAGCAAACAGGGAAAGAGTAGAAAGTGTAGAAAATTAAACAGATATGTTTCTGCTAGAGATGGGGTAATTCCAAATAACTTAATGTAATCAGATAATGTTTTAAGAGGAATAGTTTTAGAAAATACTTAAAACTCTTAGGGACTACCCCTTTTATGTTTGATAAAATTCTGATACTGATCACTGTGTGCTTATTGTTTTCCCAAGAATTTTGCAATATTATAAAGTATTCAACACATTTTTATAGTTTAAGATTCTTTGGCAGGACATATGTGTTATACCTGTATTATACAAATAGCTCTGGGGTAGGACGGAGGATGGCTCCTAGGAAGGAGGTGGCTTTGTGTGCAATTGGTCTGTCATGGTAGGAAATGGGTTGTTCATTTTTAAAAATTTCAAGCCTTTGCTTATTCCTGAGATCACACAATTACTATTTCCAAACAACTATCTCCCTGGGTTATAAACAAAAGTAAGATTAGAGTCAAAGAGAGACAGGTTTTAATTTGGTTCTATGACTTATTTGCTTTGTGAACCTGGCCAAGTCATTAACATCTCTAACTGTAAATACCAAAAGTGATCACCCACTACCTGTTGTCAAGGCTACATATTGAAATATGTCTGAATCTTTCATGGAATAAAGTAGTCAATATTAATCCTTCCTCTGGTCACTGATGTGGATTGCTAAAACATGTCAATTTTGCCTGACCTCCTAGAAGCAGGAGTCTGAGGACATACATATTCTCTAGAACTAGGCTGCCTTCTTGGGCACTATCCTGTGAAAATGCCACAGCTAGTAGGCTAAGATCTCTTCAGGAATGTGAGTCACTTTTTATTAGAGAAGATGACAATGTGGAGGAAAGAACTCTGTTGCTTTATTTTTCTATGTTTATATGACTGGGTACACTTGAAGGAAGCACATGCTAACTGCTGTGTTTTCACAATAAATCTGTATGGTGAATACATTGTTTAAAATGGTTAATACATTGAAACAAGGATCAACTAATCACCCACGGTGCCTTTGTTTGCCTGTGTAAGTACTAAGAACCCTGTGTAAGACCTAGTCCAAGGGGCTGTGATGGAAGACAACATAGTCATCAGTATCAGTGATGAAAGGACTATGTGTTTCAATAAATATATAGCAACCATTTGCCTTTTCAAAATGCCTTCCTCCTTCTTGAATGAAACAGAAGGCAAATTCAATAGGAAGACCTTTAAGAAAATATGTTTTTGACAACCTTTAGATACTACTGGGTTCTTTGTGAAACATACCTCTAATATGTGAATTTTTTTTATCATTGTGGCTATATTTTTAAATGGATGCAGTTAGGACTGTGAATTTTGTATGTCATAAAGAACGATGACAGGATAACTGTTTGGCAACAGGTCGAATTTTATAGATAATCATAGTAATAACCATCACTATCAGCTATACATTGCACCTCTACCTGGGGAAAATCTATGGATATCTGACTTCATCCTGAATTGATGAAGAGTCTGAGAGTTACTGACTGAAGACAAATAGTGGTGAGCTCTTAATGTAAGAAGGAATGGTTATCAAATTTGTGAATATCATTGATTTGTATTTGTGATATATAGAGTCACCCATCAGTAGAGCAAAAGTTTTATCAACACTGATAATGTACTGGCAAGTTTGTATCCCACTCAAAAATCTGAGATGACATATTAGTTTGGGTTCCCCAAAGAAACAAAAGTAATAGGTTACAGAAAAGAGATACTTCAATGGAAAGATAAAAATACTTATTGTGAGAAATTGGCTTATGCAATTAGTAAGACTGGCAAGTCCAAATCTGCAAAGACAATTTTCCAATTCAAGTGCAAGGTTGGTAGGCAGCAGAACTAAGAAAACCTTATGTGCTAGTTCAGAGACTGTTGGCCAGGATAAGCAGATATCCCAGTTTAGAGACTGTCAGGGGGAAGATTTTTCTCTCAGGGCGGATTCAACCTACTGTTTTACTCAAGTATTCAACTGAATGAATGTGATCCATTCACATTACAGAGGTTGATCTGCATTATTCATTCTGTCAGTGCAAATGTAACATTCTCAAAGAAATGGCTAGAATATATGACCAAATATCTAGGCACTCGGTGACCCATGTAAGTTAACACATACAATTAACTACCACAGATGCATATGTGAAATTGTAAAAGCTTAACCATTTCCCAGAGTCACTCAGAGGCAAAGTTAAGGCAGTGATTTTAAGTAATTTGTTGATTTCCTGAACAAATCCCTCCTGTGGAAATTGGCCATGTGTGGTTTTAATCACACATGAGTAGTTTCCTGAGTACTCTGTTTGTATTTTCCTACAGTGCAAATAAAATAGCTATGAAGACATTGAGGCTTGGAATGTGTTCAGTCTTGGAGGTAGGATCTCTGTCAAATCCACCCCATGAGTTGAAAATTCTACATGAGCCTTTTTTCTGTTGTCTATTCATTTATTACATTCTCTTTTCTATTTAAACATGGTTTTTCTAGCATCTTTTGCCTGCATAGTATGTAAATTAGGATATCTACAAATGTGATCAATGAGTTTAAGAAATACAGTGACTAAAATTTTCTGAGGGAGAAAAGGTGAAGTATATGAAATCATAGAAATGAATGAGATATACTTCAGTGGGAAATGGTTGTGTTATAAAAGCCCAACACCAAAATGTATTCTGTCTTTGTAGACAGAAAGAGGCTACCAATAGCAACACAAATGAGTAACTTTTTAGCTTGAACAGGAAGTAATGAGCATCCAGTTCCATATTTCCAATATTACTGTGTTCCTCACTGATTCTCTGTCATAGAGCTCATAATGAAAGTAACTAAGCTCTCAGGATTGAGTTTCAACATAGGCTGGCTTTGATTAAAATAGCATTTGGCAACAGCTTTACAAAGCAGTAGCTTTGCTGAAGGATCTAGGTCATATTACAACTTGGGAATTTCCTTCATTCCAATTTTTCTCTTTATACCAAATATGAAAACAATTCCTCCATTCCCACCTTCTCTTGGAGTTTTGGCAATGACATTGCTTGACTCTTGGATGACCTAACACTGCTTTGATTTTTTTCCCTGTTTTCTCCTTCAACAAAGCATCTGGGTTTCTCCTCTTGTCCCTGACTGCTGTATTTCTCCTAAACAGGAAGCTGCCAGCTCTGAATGATCACTTTAATATTTGGGTGTGATTGTTGCTTGGTCAGTTGTGACTGGAGCACAGAACCTTAGTGTTATGTTATCACAGGTGGCCACACCTAAACGCTCTCAACAAGAAAATAAATACCTCATGCTAATGGAGTAGAATCAGGCCATTTTGCCAAGAGCAATATATTTTTAAATCCAAATTACAAGCATAAACACCCAATGCCTTTAAGGTAGAACATTGCTTTCTCATAGAGAAAAAGTCATTATGGAAAATTATACCCATGACTGTAAAGAAACAAATGTGGATCTATGTTGTCTTAGCTTGAACACCAGAATCGGGTAGCTTCCAGACCATCCTCTTCTTTTGCTGAGTCCAGCTGCTGCTCTGCTCTGAAAAATCACAGTCAGAACTAAATAGGAACTGAAAGATGGAAAGGGTGAAGTGTTTATTTTGATCATGAGCAACAGGATAACTTCTTCCTTTTTCTTTATTCCAGTAGAAATAAAACTAAGGGCTTTGGCTTGAGAAGATGAAATAGATCTGCTTCAGAAGGGATTAATGACTAGATGTGTAAAGTTACTAAGCCAGAGAAATGCCACAGAGGCCTAAAAAGGAGAGAAGAAATCTTCAAGGCTGAGCTACCTGAGAGCTATCTGTCCTTCTTGTCAAGATACAGCATAGGTCAATTCAACATTGACAGTTCAGAAAATGAAGCATTGGTTAAATAGTGGTTTGTTTTCATTTCTGATGGCTACATGGATAAGAAATGTTTGAATTAACACTTTGGAAACCACATGAACAATAAAGACACCTACACAATAGAAGGTTCAAATAAACATTCCCAAGCTTCAGCTAATAATTTAACCATCTTGTCCACTTAAGGATGTACATTAATGACCTAGGATGCCCCTGAAAGGTGAACCTGTAATCACATGAAAATAATGGTTGCTTCCTTAAGCACTTTTTCTTGGACCATTCTAAACCTCATTGTTATCTATTACAGAAATTACCTGAGTACCTTCCTTGTATTTCCTAGGGCACTGTATAAGGGAAATTTTATACTGGACATAGCTCAGAGCATCTGAAACAACTCTTTTACTTTTTATGCTAATGGTTTGCATATAGGATTATAACAGATGAATGTCTTATTAAAAGAAAATTCATCAATTATTTTCTTTGGACGAAGATTTCAGGATCATATTTGACTTATACTTTATTGAATAAGTTCATACATCAGAACCACCAGAGTAAAGTCTACATAAGAAATGAAGTGAGATCAGTGAGATGATGTCACACAAAGGTCCTTTTCTGGGTTGTCAGCAAGTATCCTACTGCTTGCTAATTCTCCCAAGTTTCTTTTTCAATTAAAAGCTCATTCCTACCGATCTGTAGTACATATTAGGTGCTCCTTTTAATGTAAAGGTTTTCCCTAAAAATACCCAATAGTTTGCCTTTCTGCATAACAAACAATTTACTAATTCAGAGCTGTCTTCATGCCTCCTGCGTAGCAAATGTGGATATAATATTGTAGACCCACAGGAGTAATAAGAATATAGATTTGGCCGCATATGGAGGCATTGGCAGCTTAACAACAATCTTTTCCCCATGCTCTAATAAACACTGTCCCATTATGGGACTTGGTAAGAAGACCACTGAGTAGCAAGCTTTAATGACACAGAGTGGAGTGGATGAAGTTTTCATTGTGCTTAATTAAAAAAAGAGTATCTCAATACACAT